CCAGTCATCAGTGAACCTGCTCCTATTGGACGATCTCAGGAGAGAGAACAGCCTGAGAACAGGAGAGGACAAAATGGCAGATCAGGTGAACATCGCACACGTTTAATGCGAGCAATCTAAATATAATTTTAGAATTATTTAAAAAAAATTGTCTTGATGTTGTTATTTGGTTTCTATTTTAAATTGAAATGGTTCAAGTATAGTTATTTAATATTATTAAATTGCAAAGGCTGCGATTTCATTAAATTACGTTTGCGAACACAACACACACCAACCGTCTTCACACACTTGTAATGAGAAATAAATGTAAAAAAATCTTTGAAATTCAATTTAGGCAGCCATAAATAATAGTAAAGTAATTTTACTGTTGTAATGTAAAATAACATTTTTATTATTATTATATTATTTTTCTTAAATACTTGATTTTTTTATTATTTTAAAGTGAAATATTACAGTAGTAGAAATATTTATTTAATAAATTTTTTTAGTAGTAATAATAATAATAATAATTTTTATTATTCTATAGCCATATTGATATATAATAAAAAAAATTTGGCCATTTTTTTTTTTCTTCAAATTGCATTTTAAATTGCAATCGCACTAACCTTTTTTAATCAGATTTAGCCAAAACAAATAGTCATTTAAAAAAGCAAGCAAACAAACAAGACTTCAATAAAATGATGTATTTCTCAGTTAAACAGAATATTCTGTGGGAATTGGTGTATTTTATTTAATTGATAAGGTTCTGATTTAATTGTGAGAATTAATTTTAATTTTTATTGATTAATTATTCGTTCCCCACTCAATTACAACAGCAGAAAGGAGCAAATTGTGGCGCAAATTATTGCATTTTGATGCAAGATTATGAATACGGCACCTGGCATGTTCACATTATGACCAGGAATGTTTCTTCAGAAAGTTGATGTGACCTTTCAGACTGTGTGTGTGAGGCTCACGGGGAAGTGACCACCAGATGAGTGTGAGTCTGTTGTTTATCAGAGTCGAACAGACAGGAAGAGGCTTACACACACACACACACACACACACACGCATCGACTCTAACCACCCAGTCAAAGGTTACATTTTGTTTGCTAAGGAAGTTACATAACTAAACTAGATATGTTTTGCCTGGTGTAAAATAAAACCTCACAGACTTGAAGCCACATATAAAGATCCGACCGTTCACACGAGACTGAGAAACCAGCAGAACACGATTGCTAATAATGAAATAAACACTATATTAGGTAGAATTCAGAAACCTTGTTAACAGCGACACCGGTGGCCTTTAAGAGAACTGCAGCCACTAACTTTCACACAGAATTATACAGAACAATTGCGAGTATCCTAGTAAATATAGTCGGTTATGTCTTAAGTGAACATAAACAGTTGTGAAAGTAAACGCATGTGTAAAGGCCTGTTCACACCGGGACGAATTTCGCGCGTGATATTCGCAGACGTTTAACGCCTCGGGTTTGTTTTTTTAGTTTGACGCGCCGCTTCAAAAACTTTCCGGCCAATGAGATTGGCGCTTTTGCTCACGTGTCTGGAGCTTCTGAAGTTACAGTAAAACACAACTTGGGGGCGCTCAAACACAAAACGGTCTTGCCGAGCACACATACGTAACGGCGAAGAAGATATACGCCAAGTAGCGTCTACACTGCCGGGAAGAAATAAGACGAGGAAGATGCGAGGCAAGATGAATGTAGAGCCGCTGGTCTCGTTGCTGTCGGAACATAAAGAACTATATGACAAACGCCACAGCCAGGGGCGTAGCAACCGGGGGGGACGGGGGGGACACGTCCCCCCCACTTTTAGAAACAGGTGATTCTGTCCCCCGCATTTTTTTTACTCAGCGCCAATATTTCCGCCCGTGTTCTCTGATTTGTTACTTAGACTTGAGTGAGCTAACATTCAGCCAATCACAGCGCGAAGCATCTATTGGGCGCGTCTGCCATGAGCTTCAAATCTTTTGTTGCTCTTGCGAATTTTCGTGTTTGTTTAGTCGCTTTGCTGTTTGGCCGTCTAATGCACCCCAGAAAAAAAGCAGAGGACTACATCATTTTTTTCAAACACACTCTGTTACAGTATGTCGCGATGATATGAATCACACGTAAAGTTTCCTTGTTATGATTTAACCTACTGTAACGCTGTAAGAAGTGTAAGACAACAGAACCCGTATGGGTTCACGTCGCGCCGGATTGTGCCGAGTGTGTGTTAAATGCTCTCCTACTTGTTGCTTTGGATAAAAGCGTCTGTTAAATGAGACATAACAGATTATTCCCAGCAGGCACACAACGTCATAAGACGTTGATATTTGGTTAAATTGTGGTTGCGACGTCGGGTGACCAAAATGCAATGTAAATTCAACATGTCAATGTTAAATTGATGTCCAATACCGAATACATTGATTTAGGTTTTATTGATATCTTTTTATAAAATGTCTGTTGTATAAAATTACTGTAGGCTAGATGTAATCTGTTCTGTACTCATTGAACACTTTTTTTGGTCCAACTGTTAAGAAGTAAGATAAAAGTTATTGTTCAAGTGTAGTTTAACTGAAATATTGTAAATATCATAAAATATCTTTATTTCATAAAAATAAAGTATATATGTCCACAGTTGTCTGAAAGTCCCAAGTCCTGCAATATTTTTTTATTTCGAGTATGATTTCACAAAAATAGGTTGCTGTAAACTATCATGGCATGTTCCCAAAATTGGCACTAGGGTGCTGTAAAATGCCAATTGCTATTCCATCTAGAATTTATTATTATGAACATCACCTTTCAGTCCCTCCAGAAAAACGCGATTATGCGATCGCATGATTCAATGCATAATCAGCCAAAGTCTGCATATTTATGCGGGGGCTTTTTCTCAAATACGCCGCACTTTTGTCGCATAAATTGACGATTTCCACGCAAAATATGCGGGGCTTGTATGATTTCATAATCCCCGCATTTTTGTTGCAAAAAAAAGTCATATATCTTAGCAGAAAGTTGAAAAATGTTGCGTTTGCTTCACACGAGAGCAGCCGTTTCCCCCGGTTGCCATGGGAACGTTATGAAGTGACGTAATTACTCGACATGAACATCATTGAAAAAAAAATGAAAAAAAGCTGTAAAACAGGAAACATTTTTTTCATATTTTATTTATTCATTTTTACAGAAGTTGTAGCATATTCCTTTTGTAAAGCTACAGAACTTGTTTGACTCATCAATGTTTTGTAAGTTTGAGCCGTGTGTTTATTAAGGTCTGAAATAAAACAATATTAAATATTCCAGCACTTTCTGTGATGTAGTATGCTTGCTTATCATAGGAAGTAATAAGAAATAGCTCTTTACATTAAGGTAGTAGCCTAGTGAGAACAGGGTGTTGGGGAATCACTTTTTCTCTCTTTTTCATCAAACCGCAGTTTTTGCAAGTTCCCGCAATTTCATCACATAAAATTGCAAATATCCTGCATATTCCATCGCCGCATAATCAAGGATTTTTGCCCGCAACAATCACAAAAAAACTGAATTTTTCTGGAAGGACTGACCTTTGGGTCACATCACCACACCATTTTGTCCCCCCCACTTTTATAATGGCTGCTACGCCCCTGGCCACAGCGACTACATCTAAATCCTAATAAAAGAGAATGTTATGGAGTGGTATTGCAGAGCAAATGGGCGCCATCTAATGTCAGGGAATGAACTTGCACGTTCACTCGGCTCATCGTCAGCGAATATCGCTTGGGTGTGAACACAAAAAACGCGTTGAAAAACGCTGGCGAATAACGCGCGCCGATATTCGTCCCGGTGTGTACGAGCCTTTACAGTATCAGTGTATTAGATCTGTGCATTCGCTCTTAAAGTGACAGTAGCCTAATATTCCTGCGGCCATCTGTGTTTATAATGCTAATCAAACAACAAAAGACAAAGAAAAAATCACTCACTGCTCTTGACTGAATACGTTTTGTAACTTTAATAAGGATTAATTAACAAGGATGTTTAATTTACTGTGAAGACTTATTTTATACTTGCTTGCTTTATTAAATTTCTGTACCTGAAAAGCTTCATTAGTCTCTTTGTTATATTGTATTTATTTGTGCTTTTGCTTGTAATTTTTAATTATTTCCTCTTACTTTAATAGTGACGGTTTACTTGTCTTTTAATAATGTTTTACATAGATATTAGTTATTCTAGTAGTTTAAGCTCTGGTATTGAAATTGCAATAGAGAATTGTGAATTTTCACTGGTGTCTCGCATGTTGGTGTCATTACTGCCTGTTTGTGCATAAACCGTTTCATGGCCCGTACATTTTCTAAGTCGTGGGCAGAGTGTGTTCACAAAAAGTTAGTAGTAGGCCCTGTAGATGACCTCGGAAGCGGTCGTTCTTAAAGGGATATTTCACCCAAACATTCTGTGCGCAAAAAACACACAAAAATAACGACTTTATTCAACTCTTCATTCAGCAGGCTCACTATTGGCTGACGCTGGTCATGTGTGTGTGTGTGTGTGTGTGTGTGTGTGACGTACACCAGAAGCGCTGCGCTGTTACACTACGAGAACTCACTCGAGGCCCACAGAGAAGAAGATGAAGAGTTGAATAAAGTCGTTATTTTTGAGTGTTTTTTGCGCACAGAAAGTATTCTCGTCGCTTGATAAACTTAAGGTTGAGCCGCTGTCGTCACTCGGACTATTTTAACAATGTCTTTAATAACATTCTGTTCCGGCAAGTTTCAATTACAATAGAAGCCTATGGAGGAGAGAGACAGCTCTCAGATTTAATCACAAATATCTTCATTTGTGTCCCGAAGATGAACGAAAGTCTGACGGGGTTGAACAACACGAGGGAGAGTCATTACTGACAGAGTTTACATGTTTGGGTGAACTATCCCTTTAAGGCCTCGTTAGAAGCTGTGGCAGTACACACATTGGCAATACAAAAAGCGATTACGATTAATACTTGGCATGGGCAACGATTAATCGCATCCAAAATAAAAGTTTGTTTTTACATAATATATGTGTGTGTGCTGTGTATAATTATTTTGCATATATAAATACACACACATGCATGTATATATTTAAGAAAAATGTGTTATTAATATATAAAATATTTATATTTAATATAAATGATGTATATACATGCAAATATTTCTTAAATATATACATGCATGGGTGTGTATTTATATATGCAAAATAATTATACACAGCACACACACATATTATGTAAACACAAACTTTTATTTTGGAAGCGATTAATCGTTGTTCATCTCTACTTAAAACATGTAAATACTTGCACACACCCCGTTTAAAGACGCTTTACTGTTAGTGCTGTAGTGAGTTTCGGGCCGGTGTGGATGTGATGAATATCTCTCGCGTGTGTGTTCGGTCATGTGACTGCTGTAGATGTTGTGTTGACGTCTCTTCAGAGCGGTGTCGAATGACACTCGTATTGTTCTTTATGTCAGTAGAGATGCAGTGGCTCATTACGCAGGCTGACGTCATTTAATAAACCACAGCGCTTTATGAGTCGTGAAAGCTTTTGTTATATAATAACAGTGTTATTCTTTAGCTGGGTGTTGATATGGACGAGTGATGGTTATTCACTTTAATAGTGTTTATTCATATTTTAAACTAGCTTTTATTTTAAAGGGGTCATATAATGCCATTTTTGTACAAGCTCTAAATTAAAAGTTTGTAATATACTTTAATTAAAAATTCTCATTAGTATTGTAAGAAAACACTTATTTTACCTGGTCAAAAACAGCTCTGTTTTCAGCACGCCGTTTCAGTGTATATGACTTTAAATGATAATGAGCTTTGCTGACTCCGCCCCTCTGTTCTGTGCATTCACCATTTGTAACTCAATAACACAATAACCATAACACGTTGTTCAGTATAAACGTGGAATTATGAATTATATTGAGAACGTCATACATAGAAAACATGTCGTAATGTACCCTGACTGAGTGTAAACCTTAGACGCATTCATTGTGAAGCGTGCAGCTAGCGATTTGCAAAGATTAATATATTAATATAAAGTTTAATAAAACGTTTCACTCACTTCCGTTGTTCTAGAGGTTCAGCAGGAACACGAATATCTGGTACCGATCCTTTCTTCAGGAGCAGCTTTTTAGCAAATCCAGCTTTATACTGACCCTTGTTTATAAAGCAGTCTGGTGAGAAATGATTCGCGCAAACATGAGAGCATTGACGTTGATCGTGTGGAATATTCAAGGGGGTAATCCATCGACCGGAAGTTGAAGCCGGCCGGGTGCCGCCATCTTGTAGCAGAACTTCACTTGCGTTAGCATTTCCATTGACTCCCATTCATTTTGGCGTCACATTGACAGCGAATAACTTTACATCTGAGGCGTTTAAAGACTCCATTTGTCCATTATTTATTTCTAAAGAAACACGACAATGTATACAGAGCTCCATTACCTTCTATGTTACATTATGGCCCCGTAGAAACAGTTTTAGTAAAAATAGGCTAACGATTGCGTCATAACCACTCGACTCTCTGTCGCGCTGTACAGAAATTACCGTACAGACAGGAGGAGAAGCTCGCAGGCAATCGGGGGGACGTCCCGTCAAGGGAGAAGCCCATAGATAATGAGTCCATAAAAGCAACGGAATACTTACTCCTGCTCACTCACGCCAAAGAACTCTTTGCTCAAGTTCCCCGTCTCTGCAAGATTAACGTTGGCAATTTTCACGCACAGCTACTAGAAGATTAACGTCTGTCAGACAGGTTGCTCACGTCATCAAGCTTAGTTTGAGTCGGTCTGAGTCTGCGCGTCAGGAACGGAAGTTCTCAAAAATCGCTAAAAATGGGCTTCAACTGTCTCAACTGAGTTCCAATGAGATGGCTCTGTCCACTTCTTATACTGTCTATGGGAATATTCCCTTCGAAAACAAACTCAGCGACTGCGTCTTCAGCGGTTCGGATTTAGGAACATTAAAATGACTGTGTTCGTTATTACACCCAAGAACAGAACACCACAATCGCTTAGAGCCATTCTGCTCATAGACAGTGCTCCAGCATATCAACAATGACCGCGCCGGTCCGCGCAGACTATGATTGACAGCTCTCACGAGCGAGGGCGGGTCTGTGTTGAAGCGCTCCTGTCAATCAACAATCGTGGGAGGGGCTTCCGAGCGTGTGACGTCACACGGTCGAACGGCTTGATTTGAGGCAGGGAAAAACATATAAGGAGATTAAAACAAAAACACTGGCTGGATTTGTATCATTTTATGATGGTTGTGTACAGGCACTGCCAACACACATTTCAGTACAATCAACTTGTAAAAGTGCATGTACCATTATATGACCCCTTTAATATTTTCTGTCACGGGTCATTTTAGTTTTTTGTTTAATTTTTTTTAAAATATTTTGTATATTTGTATTATTTTGTATATTTGTATAAGTCCCCCTGTGGTGAAAATCCAGCTTTTAATGTTGTTTATATGTGGTGTTTTTAATCTGCTTTAAGACACACCATGTGTAAGTTCATAA